ATTTTCGAAAAAATTCCTGAAACACGTCAACTATAATTTGGAGGGGGATGAGTTTTTATGCAAAATTCACCTCCCCCTTTCAACACCACAGCCACCAAAGCTACCCTTTAGAAAATCTTAAATGGGAAGGGGGGCAAAATTATTTTGGTGCATGCTCAATCATGTTTTATCAAAATCTCCTATATACGGACAAAAGAGACTCGTATTTCATTAAAAAAGCCGCTAAAATATTTTTTTTCCAGCTAGATCCCGAAAATTTCACACTGATCGGCGACAGTTGAATATATTTTCTCGATTTCAATTTCGCTCATGTTATAGTAAGATAACAGTACAGTATGACGGAAATGTAAGTATAACTTTTCAATTCCAATCCGGATCATGTTATAATACATTAACAGTACAGTTACAGTAACAATTCATAATAATAAACAGTTATTATCACATTTATTTATAGTATACATTCAATTACTGCCTCTTTCAATCCTATAAACGTTCCATGAGTAAAATGAATGCCGACGAAACAAGAGGCGATCTCAAAGAATTGGTTACAAATCAAAGCAAATAAGCTAAGAAGTGTAATTTCTCTGAACTTACAAATAACGTATAATTTAATTGCAATATCTGCTCCGTAAGTTATTGAAAAAGTAACAAAGCTCAAATTAAATCAAAAGAGATATGATTTTAATCTCGACCATAATAAATTCACCTGCACTCGATAAACATTATGGAACATTTACCTATTTAAAAGTGATATGCAAGCAAATAAAAGACCCTATATTCTAATAATTTCTATTTAGTTGCAGTTTCTGATAATTGGTAATTAATTATTCATTCTTGAACTAACTCAAATATCCTCATCAATTTCATGTGGGATTAAAACTAATGACAATTAGTTATTCCACACACCATTAAATGGGGAATTGGATTAATGGCAAAATTAGGGCACGCATTTAAGCCTCCTTTAGAGGACTTATAAGGGTCTGAAGACCTTTAGATAAGCGAATATGCCTAATATTGGGTTTAGAATTTATAAGTGAAAATTGTTAATAAAACAGATTAAGACCTATCACCCTTCAGTGTGCCAAATAGGCCTGGAAACAAAGGTTTAACCGTAAACTCGGCACAAGTTCTGGTAGGACAAGCGCTGCTTATTATGGGTCTAACCATTTTCATGGAGGGCATTGTTTGCGGGAAAATGGACAAAAAAAAAAAAAATCTTCAAATAGCCTAGCATTAGTCCTCAGATGATATGAAAGGGTTTTTTTTTTTGGTATCGAATTTGCGAATTTCAACCTTTATTTCCTTAAATTCAATTAGGTAATGGCAGCATTTTCTGTTCCTCTGTTATCTTGCTCCTTCTCGCGGTCCCTCTTTTCGGTCTCGTGTCTGCGCCGCTGTTCTTCAAAAGTTTGTGGTCCGTTGTGGACTACTCGACGCCATGAGAGCCTATCAGTTGCCGTTGTCTCCCAGTTGTTGGTATCGATGCGGCACTTTGCCATATTCTCCTTAGGAATATCTTGGTAGCGAATCTGTTAAGCGTGCAAATGCATATATTTCGTCAACATTCTTCAAGAAAGCTTCTGGAGAGGTCTAATGACTGAATACAATTAAGAGTTCATGGACGGATATTCTTCAACAGTTTCACATAGGTACCTACAGCGGCTATGAAGACCGACCACTGCGTTTATTGTTTTAAACTAAACCAAATGACTCATATTTTTTGAATAAAGTTACCACGATGGCTTTTTGTTACGAGAAGGTGTCTTACTTTGACCGAAATAAGAACACGCGGCATTTACGAATAGTATAAGGTATCCGCAAAATTTTGACCGTTTTTAAAATCAACATTTTCAATTACCATACGCATGGTGTAATTACTATTATCATGGGTTGTTCCTTGCAAAAAAGAGCAAGTCTTTTTTATACCTTCTTTGATAAGCCTATTCAAACATTTCCTCTCTTATATCCGATTAGTATTCTGTATTTTCCTCAAATTGATTTTTAATAAATCAGTCCGAGAGAAAGTTGCGTGTTGGTCATAAAGTATATAAAAAGAAAAATAAATCTATTTCACATCAACTTCCTATAGAGAGTATTTCTTGGTCATTCGTCCTTCCGGCGTTATCAATTTTTTTCATCATCTTCTGGCCCTATACGGCTTATTTTTTTCCCCTTGGTTTATTGGAGTTGGAGCTATAAATGATTTGTTTCCCCCTTGCCAAATGTCGAATTCAGTTTGAATTTTTTTTCATCTCGACCAAAAAAATTAAATAAAAAATGTCTGCAAATGTCTATGAAAAAGTCACGCAATAATAAGATTAATTTGTATAAAAATTTAGAATTAAGGAAGCGTAAAGTTTTTTCTATGTAAATGAAACCAGTAAAAAATAGAAAGGGGGATTTTCGTGGAAAAGAAATGGGGTGCATATTTAAATTACTTGAATCCAAGTAAAGTCGCGCGAGCAGTTAGGCAGAATTGGGAACATAACACACTGGCTTATACAGTAAACAAACAAGTTATTTCTTGTTCGATAAAAAATACATTCAATATTTGACTCCGACAACTTTGACATGTTGTCATTCCCAAACAATTAGGCATTCCAACGACCTGTTAAAACTATTCCAAAATGGCGTCGTAGGTGAAAGTTTATTATCCCGTATTTGAGAGTACAGAATTTAAACCTTTTTTAGGTGCATTGTGTGGTTGTTTGGTTGTTTGGTGACTGAAGTGTATTTATTTCTTATTTAATTGACTTCATAAGTGTTTTTTCCAATGACATCTTAACACAGATAGACACCACATCTAATTCATAAACTGATGTTTGTTGTGATGACAAGACCTCCTATGGGCCAGAAGAGATGAGCTACTTAAGAGGGATCATGGTAGGGATGCATCACTGGTGTAACAAGACCCGAATTCCCCTCTGAATCCCGTCATTCACTTGACCAAAATAATGGAGGAATGCGCACGGGTGCAACTCGTGTATTTATCTTGTATCTGTCTGCCTCTAACTCATATGATATGAGTTTGATGGGCGCGTTGACATGCCAATTGATTGCAGGTGTGTTCCGCCTGCCTTACAGAATCGGCGTTGCCAGTTGTCGTTTTTTGTCTTGAACCTCCAACTTTTTGAAGCAAAGTCATAACAGGGTAAAATATCAATCCGTTACAATTTGGCAACCAAATTGGAGGGGATACACCGGTGGTGAATTGCTCTCCTAAATGTTGGCGACACAAAATTTTGTTTACTGTAATGCCTATCTGTGTTAATATGTCATTGGCTTTTTCCAATCAAAAATGCTACAAAGGTGTCTTGTTGTAGCTGTGGATGTAGTTTCAACAAAGACGATGTCCGGGTTTTTTCAGTGCTCACCGTTTTAAACTTTCCCAATTAAACCGTGAAAATTATTCATTCATTATCATTATATAGTTATTTTTGTATCTAGGGCGCGAAATGCTACTTTGGTGATCGAGATCTGATTTTTTTAACGAGGCGCAGCCGAGTTAAAAAAATAGTCGAGATCACCAAAGTATTTCGCGCCCGAGTTGCAAACATTATTTTTTCTACAACTGCATTTAAATATCGATCATTCGAAGGCAAAATTGCATTTTCACTCGAAGGTAGGTGAATTTTAATTATTTTTGGTTTCCTGACAGGTATGTGTCACCATGACATATCAGTGTGCGAACTAGCTATTTCGCGCACTAGTGTGCGAAATAGCTAGTTCGCGCACGGCGTCATGGGAACGTTAAAAAATCAATACCTCGGAAAAAAAGTGTAAAGCTACATCCTCAATCAATCTGGTAGCGAAGTGGCACTTCAGCACGCGTGCTGGAAAATTGATACCCATCCTCAATGCTGTCAATTTATGTAATGGTAATTTAATGTACTGCGCATGACAGATGTCGGCACGCATCAAAAAAGCTTGCAGCTTGCAAGCTTGCAATTCGGAGTCGGCGTGCATGCTAGCACGGAATTGAATTGAGGATGCCAACGTTAAACAACATTGTCCTAGCATGCGTGCCGAAGTGCCACTTCGCTACCAGATTGATTGAGGATGGGCCTTAACTTCGCAAACTGTCATGAGTGTGCGAACATTATCATTTTTTGACAGTTGTAGAAAATAGTTATTTTCCTAACAAGTGCGCAAAGTGTTACTTTTCCGCACGCAAACACAGTTATACGAACGACGCGAAGCGGAGTTCGGATACGTGTTTGCGTGCGGAAAAGACACTTTGCGCACGTGTTAGGAACAAAATTTTTCCTACGAGCTTCATATCAGGTAGGTAACAACAAAAATTAAAAAAAAAAACGATAATTTGTTTAATTATTTTTAATTAACTTGAAGGGAACCTATGCATTTATCAAAAAATTACATAACAAAAAAAAAAATATAACAGAAAATCATCGTCAGAGCTCTTCATCTTAAAGCGTTTAATGGCGATTTCCATTTGTCATCAGTGCCGCACTGAGTGCATCCGCAACTTTTTCTAAAAGCATGTAACATGTAAGGATAAGGATACATTTTTTTGCCCTGTTTCGACAAATGGAAAATGCTATAAATTTGATGAGAAAGTTTGTAGATACTTGCATATAAATAGAAAACAAATCTGACAATGTGTTGAAGTTAATTAAATTTGGTGTTTGTAGGTATAGATGTTAGCTGGTACAGGAACAGAGGAAAAATTTGTCATCATGTGTCAGAGTCGACAGGTGTACTTATTGTTGCTTGACAATTATTTTTACTTTTCGGCACTCAGTGCGGATAAGGCCTGTATCCGCACTGAGTGCGGAAAAGTGCAACTTTGAGAACCGAAATGCGTGCGGAAAAGTACTACTTTGCGCACGCTCGTAGGAAAAAGTATTTTTAAGGCACTTATGTGAATTGCAGAATTCGCTTCGCTCATTCTGCAAACACGTCGTTGCTGTTACAATATGAATGTCGATAATACACATTCGTAAAGTTACTCTTGAAGTATTAAAAATTGTCGTCCTTACCTGAACAATAACTGATGAAACTGAGTAGCGAAACTTGTAAATAAGCAGCCTAAAGCAGTAATAAGACCGCCCATGACCGCTGTTACTCTGGTAGATCGTCTCCTGCAGAATGCAATTACTATGGGAGAGATTAATAGGGAAATTCCTGTGGATACCGCTCCAAGCCATTCTGGAAAAAAAAGCATTTCTCATCAATTTTATCTTTATGCCCCTTATTTTTTACGTTGATTTTGTGTCCTGATAAATAACTTTCTGGATTTAACGTGGCATAAAGAAAAACTTAACTTCCCTTGGTAACGTTTCGTACATACTGGGTGTCCCACGAGGTTTCACCCAGGTGATAATTTCAGAACGCGTCATCGTATGTTCCAATGTTTAATTTTTTATCATTTTCTTTAACAAAGCCTTAACAAATATAGAAATGCCGATTTTATAATAATTTGATTTTCTAAGAAAAATGCCATAATAAATATATCATAGGTTACATTTAAGATTTTAAAGTTGCCGTCACTTGACCGAAACCGAAGCGAAAGTTATGAAATTGGATGAGAGATATTGTAGAAGCGGCACAAAAAGTTACCCAGATCCTCAAAAATTTCAATTACATTGGATGACGCGCGTTCCGAAGTTATCACCTGGGAAAAACGTCGTGGGACACCCTGTATATTAGTACTTTTTTAAACCTCGTAAAGACTTAGTTGATTTATTTTTTTATAAATTTATTATTATTTTGATCTTTGGTAATTAACAAAATATACAACGTAAATAAATACATAAATAATGAAATTTGAATCTAATATATAAAAATCAATGTTTGGTCGTTCGTAGTTTATGGACTCGGAAATCGCTGAACCGATCTCCTTGAAATTTATACCACGTCGGCTCCATATAAAGGGGGGTGTTATAGACTACTTTTTATTCCGGTAAAATACATAATTCCTGTGGGATAGATCTGAAGCGTAAAGCTTGGGTTAGTTTGGGTTAACTTGGGAACAATTGTTTTCGGAGAGGCGTAGCAACGTACGTAGGGTGCAGATAGTTATTCATAAATATAACTTTGTAGATAATAAATTGCAAAATTAAAATGAAAGTTGGTTAGTTGTTTTATCGATATAATATCTGCAATTATTGTATCATCCAGAGTGGATATAGGGCAACGCCACATAGGAATGGTATCATCAGCAAACCGCGTAAATAAGAGGGCAAAGAATGCAGATACTCCACATAAATCGTATATATTTTAAAGTTCTCTGAAGTGATCCCTGTGGAGGAGACCTCTAGGATTTACTAGAAGTTTTGAGATCAGTAGGTCTCCACTACTCACGACCTGAAAACGATCAGATAGCATCGATCAGTTGAGCCCCATATAGACTTCCTCCTCGCCCTGTACATAAACCACTATGTATCTGAATTCCGAGAACCGCGCATTGATATATTTTCTATTTGACGTCATATGTTGACCTGTACTTAGGAATATCTAATTTAAAAATTAAAATCTCAATTTAATTTTCTGAGAGAAAATAAAAATGTCACTCCAAATCGAACGTTTATTTTAACAGCTCCGAAATAACAATGAATAAACACAATGATTCCAAACATTATCCAATTTGGCACGAAAAAATGTTTCCTTGCATAAGCCAAATAATAACTGGGTTAAAAGCCCCCAGCGATTTCCGAAATTCATAAACATTTGTCACGCGTAAGCGATACAAAACAGGCACTAAATACTTGTTAAACATTTAAACAACATTAAGTTGAAGTATAATTTTCTTTCCTAAATCTTCTGTATGCTTTATCCTATAATAGTTATTATAATGGTCTTGAATCTAATTCACATAATATCTGGCTTTATCTCTCTATGTGTACCCGGACTATATTGCAGTTATAAAGTGGGTCAGGTATTTCCATATGTAACATATAACATATTTTTAGTCTTTAGTGAAACTGGTTCCGAGTGAGTTTTATAATGCGGCGAATAAACTGGAACAGTTGGTAACTAAAAGTAATAATTGGAAATAAATATGAAATTTTCACAGTAGGTATATGATGGGTGACCACGAGATTGTTTTTGCTCTAAAATCAACCGTTTAGATTTTACAGCCTGTCCAAGTTACAAAAAAATCAATTTTCGACTGTCAATGTTTCCGAAACAGTTGAAGATAGGCATAGGACATGATACATGAAAAGGTTCAGAGTTTAACTTAGAATTTGAAAATTAAATAAAAAATTGGCAATTTTTTTTGAAATATAAAGCTAGCTGTCGTAACTTGTTTTTGAGTCACCCTGTTTACATGAAATTATTATCTAAAAAATGGCCACTAAAATCAAAAAACGACATATCCGAAGTTTTAAAAAATATATCAATGCGGATGATGATTTTTCAGCGACGACTCGTGATTTTGTCAAAAATGTCATGGAATGTCATTCGCGGAATTGTTAAGCAACAAACTTTCATACCAAACTGATGTGAAGTTATCAGACAAAAGCTATCAGACAATTTTCCGGCAATAGCCGAAAAGTTCAGTGGCGTCGGTTTTTTTTTTGAAATATATATTAGGTGCTCCCAAAGGATATCACATGAACATTTTCTATTTTTTCTTATTATTAGTAGGTATCTTTGAAATTTTTAAGGGTATGAAATATGTTTTTTAGCATATCTCAAAAACTGTCCGTACCTACTGACAAGTTCAAATTATTACCATACATTATTTAGATCACAAAGAACATTTATAAAAATATACCACACCCCTGCGCCCCTAGGGTCTTTGAAATTTTTAAGGGTGAAATATGTTTTTAGCATTTCTTCAAATTATTACCAGACATTATTCAGATCACAAAGAACATTTAAAAAGATATACCGCACCCCTGCTCCCCTACGGCCTTTGAAGCTTTTAAGAGTGAAATATGTTTTTTAGCATGATGAAAAACTGTCCTCTCACATCCAGTTTTTAGCGCTTTTCTCAAACATATGCGAAAATCACCATTATTTTTTTCGCATGCTATCTGTAATCTGTATGAGATTGGATAAATATTACCTACAACGACTATTAATCTTACCGGTCTGTTTCCGAAACTCTGGTCCAAATTTTCTGGTAATCTCTAGCTGAAACAGTCCAGCGGATGCAATAAATCCATTGGCTAGGACATGCACCATAACTGCTGTCCATAATACCATCCAGCCCCAGCCACCTTCTGGATAATAGTGTTGTTTCAGGGTAATAAGTTGACGTATATCCGCCACGAACCGTGCGGTTCTCGAAGCCTGCACTTCGTCACCACCAGAACCCTGAAAATGTTCAGTAACCTGCATAGTAAATAAGTGGTTGAATAATTATACAGTGTGTCCCAATTTACTTTACTATTTAATTAGTTGTAACGAAATCGCTTTTTCAATGAATTCATGTAATTTCTGACAATAAAGCATGTAGAAGTCAATTAAATTAGGAAAGTTTTAGATAATTTCAGGCTGATTTAGAATCTTCTTTTAAATTGTATTGAAAATTATTTGTTTTCAATAGTAATAATCCATAGACATTGATAATTGTTGGAGAAAATTTTATAACAGATTTCGAAAGCTTTGTTGCTTGGAAACAGAACGACGCCGGCCGTAGGCTGGGGTCGGTTTCTTATGAGCAGCAAGCTCCGCTCACAAATGTGTTTCAATTATTAAAGACCAATTATTTTTGATAGAATTTAAAAGCAGATTCCTAATTAGCATAAAACTGTCCTAAATTTCCTTGATTCAATTGACTCTCTATCTCTTATAATAACCAAGATCCTAATGTCTGGCCAACGATTCTGAAGCTACGGGGCATGAGGAGAGTGCAGTTGTAAAAAAAATGGCTGATTTCATTCATTAAATACCCAACACGAAAATCGACAATGACCAAATCACCGCCACTGGATATTTCAATGTAAGTCGATATTTCAAGATGGGAGGATAAAATTACGGAAGCCCTGAGGCCCGATTCTCGTCTCAGGGAGTAGAGCTCTCCGAGAGAACAAATTTTTCGTCCTTATCACTCTTGTTTGCGTTTCGATTACGTTGACAAGGACAAAACATTCGTTCTATCGGAGAGTTCTACTTTTGAGACGAGAATCGCCCCCCAGGGTCCTTATTCTTGAAACAAGGGAGCAGCGTTCCCAGGAGAACGAGTGTTTTGTCTTTCTTAATGATATTCAAATAGGGTTTGCATGAAAAACTAAATTGATTATTGTTTATTGTAAACTGTAGGAAATCGAAAAAAATCGATGCGTGTTTTTTTTTTGTCCTAAAACAATTATTCCGGAAGTTATACAAATATTAAGTTTTGTATATATAGATATACTAAGCATGTGCGACGTCACAAAGTATTATACCTTATGACGTCATAAGCAGATTTCAAAGCGTTGTATCTTCGTCAATTTTTGACTAACACGAAAAAGAAAAAACACGTGTTGACTTATTTTTCATTGTCTAACGAAATCAGTAAAAAAAACTGATGCAAGGGGCCCATTATAATATAAGTCACAAAGACTGAACACTCTTCTTTATTGGGAATGGAATGGGAATGTTGTTCCCCTGTTTCAAGAATAAGAACCCTGGCCGGATGTTTGGCAAATTAAAAAAAGCTGAAGGTTTCTTTAGAAAATATTCACTTTTTATAATAGACCAAATTGAAGAAATCAGTTATTAAATAAGAATAGATCTCACAAACACGGTAAAATATTGAGCGTCAATAAAGGCATAATAGTACGGGATACGAGGCCTATTTCATCAAATCATTTTACACCGTCTTGCATTGTTATCATCAGTTAGATAAAATGGTACTGAAACGCACTTGTGCAGGGAAATAGATGGGAGTGGGGGATTTCGCTGAAAAAAATGTTTCAGAAAATGTCGTCATAAATTAGGAAAATATATAATTATACACCGTCTTGCATTTATTTATTGAGTCAGTTTGCACACAAACAAAATTGAATTACCACATGCAAGACGTTTTTATGGGGGTTTTAGGGTTGCGATAGAAGATGGAAATTGTCAATTTGTGAGAGGGGCGGAAAATCATTTTACACCACTCCATTGTTGATTTAGATTAAAGCTTGAATGTAGAATAGCTACTGGATACTGATACAAGACGTCCTGTGGAGGGATAACGGGCTGCAAGACGGATGTCAATGCGTTGTCTCATGAGGGAGTGAAAATTTATTTTACACCACTTCATGCTTATGTCCGCCGGAAGAATATATGTTAAAAAATGGTAATACATCAGTCCAAGACGTTTTTTCGGGGAAAAAACTTAATAAATCCGTTTTCTTTTTTTACTGAACTTTTGAGTTATTTACTGAACCGTTCACTGTTCATTCTTTTCTAAATCATACAGATAGAAAAGGACAGTTGACATAGCAGCTCAACAGGGGAGTCTGCTGAATACAGGAATTATAATTTCTGTTTACAATTCCAGGCAGATCATTTTTTTGCTGCTTTAAAATCAAATTTCTCAAATTTACCTAACACCTACTTACAATCCGTTAGGTGTTTTGACATATCCAGCTCAAAAAAAAAATAAAATGATTATAAGCTGTCAGAAAAAGAACAATTTTCAACCTTTTTTTTTTGATGTCCGTAGAGTCATTCAAATATACATATTAAGAGAATTTTGCAAAATAGAATTATTCTACGTGGTAAAAGCAAAAATATCTAAAATTATTGTGCGTAATTTGTAATTTGGAGTAGTATTCACATTTGTACCTGATGGATTTACCCCCGTCAAAATTAGTCAACTTCATCACCGTCTTGCAGTCCTTTCTTTCCATTTAGAACGTCTTGTATTTTTTAAAATGTTATCAATGTGTTCTGTTTTTCCCATTAGTATCAGTGCAAGACGGTGTAAAATGATTTCTCACTCCTTCATAAGACAACACATTGACCTCCGTCTTGCAGTCCGTTATCCCTCCACAGGACGTCTTGCATCAGTATCCAGTGGCTATTCTACATTCAAGCTTTAATCTAAATCAATAATGAAGTGGTGTGAAATGATATTTCACCCCTCTGAAAAATTGACAAATTTCTATCCAATATAACAACCCCAAAACCTCCATGAAAACGTCTTGCATGTGTTGATCCAATTTTGTTTGTGTACAAATTAACTCAATAAATAAATGCAAGACGGTGTATAATTATATATTTTCCCTGTTTATGACGACATTTTCTGGAAATTTTTTTTCAGCGAAATCCCCCACTCCCATCTATTTCCCCGTACAGGTGCGTTTCAGCATCATGTTATCTAACTGATGATAACAATGCAAGACGGTGTAAAATGATTTGATGAAATAGGCCTCGTATCCCGTACTATAAGGGGTTTCTTGCACTAGAGAATTGGTCGATTTTGAAGCAATTTTCGCAGGAAATCACTCTTATTGAGTAAATATTTTTTTTTTAATTTTGAAAAATAGTTCATAATATCTTTTTTTTTACGCCATTTTCATATTTAACGGTAAACCTTTAAATCAATTTTTATTGGAAATATTTACGCTGATTCGGTTTTCAAATTAACTCACAACCAAACAGCTCTTCAGCCTTTTTCTGGGCGTCCTATGAACTATATATTATTTCCAAAAAGTCCTAAATTATGGCTCTAAGAATGGAAAAATCCTGCAATAGATATATTTTTCAATAAAATTGGATTTGTAAATCAACTGCAATATTTTGCTAGTGCGAATTAGCTTTTTTTGTTCCTAACATAATAAATCAAACTCATACGCATATCAAGTGAAAATAATTATTAATCCTCCAAATTGGAAGGTGAGCCTCAATTTGCCATTTTAATAAGTTTGCTGAAAAAGGCCAATAAACCAAAAAAGGCGTAGGCGTAGTGGAAAAGGTCAGGAGCGATTATTCCAATAATTTTCCGATAAGTAACTTTTAATCCGATTAGCAGATGGAATTTAGTCTGAGTCTGGATAGAAAAAGGTTCTTGAACTTGACGATATCTTTTTATTGGAGGATTTAGGAAATAATAAACTTATTCAACATACCCCATAGTAGCTTCCTAGTCCTGAATCGTGGTGAGAAAACTGGGGTAAGCTCCGTGACCTTGTAAGACCTCCAGGACGTGACCGTTCTCCATTCGAAGGTCCATCCTCTGTAGTAGCCATCTGTTAACAACAAACACAACTTTTTTCAAGAGACACGCTTCCTTCGGATTTAAATTTTGTTTGGATGAGATTATCGGACCGGTGATTAAATTAAAGCCAAGTTCGCGGCGAAAATACCGTAATTGAAAAACTGACTCGAATTCTGTACTCCTCTTCCTTAACATTTATTTATTCACGTCGAGAGAGTGGCTGTGTTGCTTGTCGAAGAAACAGGAAAATTGAACCAAATTATTTCGAGCAAATATGTTTAATAAAAATCTTAGCAGAGCGCTTTTAGCCCCCCGGCCGCATATACAACCAACTGTTAATCACTCTGCCCTCTAGTTCGTCCGTTGTTATCGTTGAGGGTTATTAATTTACCTGGTAAACAAATGCCAGGTGCTGCTTCCTTAATATTTTGTTTACAAGTAATTTTTATTAGTGACTATTTCACTACACCATTTCCAAATTCAAGCGGCAGTAAATGACATTTGATAACCTAAATTGTAAACAAACACCAGCCTTCCTATTGGTTGAAACGCCCTACCTGGACAGGTGCCCATGCACGGAGGACATTTGATAGGTTGTAATGAAAATGACCAGTTTGTCATTTACTGCCGCTTGCATTTGGAAATGGTATAGAGGGTTTTACACTGGCAAAATGTCATAGGAACGGCCAGTTTCCTACTGACAAAACTCCTACCTGTTTCTACCTGGACAAAACCAACATGATGGTTTTTCAGTGACTATTTCACTAGAGTGTATTACACCAGCAATAAATTCGGTATTCACCTGACAATAATGCTACCTGGACAATACCAACAACATGGTATTTCAGCGACCATTTTTTGACATTGTCAAACTGGTATTTTTAATTTGAAGTTTTTATTAATAATTTTGCATTCTATTTATTTTCAAAATCTTACGTGAAATAGTCATGACGAATACCACTCGAGAAAAAATTGTGTAGGCAAAATTGTTCTCAAGGTTTTATTCAAGTTTGTTGCTTTTCGGCAATTTCGGCAAATTGCCAAGTAACAAACTTTCATACCTTTCGAAAATTTTGCCGACAAAATTTTTTCTCTTGTGATATTATATATGATTATTTCATTCATTATAAAATTTTGTGCCATCAGACAATGTCATTTTTTGAATGAATTTTGTTTAAATAAGTGATTATTTCCCAAGACCTTGTTTATCAGCGATTAAATTTTTGTTTACCTTTTTTGACAGAATTTTGATAGAAATATTCTGACATTTTATAATAAATAGAACTCTTTGGATAGGATTGACGCCAACAATTCAATCCTAATTATTCAGGAAATAATCTAGCCGTATACCACTCGACCTATAAATTCAAATGGATTAAACTATCCAAATATTTTTTGCATAATTTTGCTTTTTGGCAAATAGTTTCATGCACAATAACTTTTAAATAAAAGTTATTGTGCATTCAACTATTTTCCAAGCAAAATCATGCTCAAAATATGTTGAATAGTTTAATCGATTAAATTTAAAGCTCTTGTGATATAATATATGACTATTTCACTAGAGTGTTTTACACTGGCAAAATGTCATAGGAACGGCCGGTTTCCTACTGACAAAACTTCTACCTGTTCCTACCTGGGCAAAACCAACCTAATGGTTTTTCAGCGACAAAATTTTGTGTGGTTAAGGTGAAAAACTATTGAGTTTGACAAGTGTCACCTAAAGAAAATAAATTTTCCAATTGAAAATTTGGCTTGTTTTTATCGTGCAATAGTCCAACCGAATACCACTCAAGAATAGTATATTACATACCGAGGTGGAAAGTGTTTCATTATTGTCGAGAGATTTAAGTTAGACCGAGGCGCAGCCGAGGTCTAACTGAAATCTCGAGACAGTAATGAAACTTTTCACCGAGGTATGTATACTATTTTATTTACAATCATTCGAATTTTGAAATTTTCATTTGGATTAAAACTAAAAAATACAATAATTAACAATTTCATTTACATTCGGCCCACGGGTCGAAAGTTTACTTTCGACCCGTGGGCCGAAAGTAAAAGTCAAAAAATACAATAAATTTTAAAAATTTCATTTACTTTCGGCCCACGGGTCGAAAGTAAACTTTCGACCCGTGGGCCGAAAGTAAAAGTCAAAAAAGTGAAATTTTCGAAATTTTTAAAAGTCAGTAAAGTCAACATTACCTACATGTATGATTGTAAATAAAAAAATTATGTAGGCAAAATTATTCTCTTGGTTTTATTCAAGTTTGTTGCTTTTTGGTAATTTCGCTCATGATGTCATTCGCGAGATTGTCAAGCAACAAACTTTCATACCAGTCGAAAATTTTGCTGACAAAATTTTTTCTCTTGTGGTATTATATATGACAAAATTTTGTGTGGTTAGAGACGTTATAGTAAAAAACTAGTGAGTTTGACAAGTGTCACCCAAAGATAATAAATTTTCCAAATGAAAAGGACCCCGCAATATTTAAATGGAAATCGGTTACCCGTGATATTTGGATGAAATTTAAATATGTTATTAAGGATACCGTAAGCAACATTTTTTACCATGGGCACAACCCTGTATATATCACAGGTGAGGCGTGGTTAGCTGTCAAATATTGGAATCCTATATCCAAAAGCAGAGTGACTATGGCAGATTTTGATGAACGAAGTATCGATGTCTAGTAAGTCGACCAAATTAAGTCGAAAAATGTCAACCATTTTGACACCTGTCAAAACCCTGCCAAACGACAGCACTCATCTTTTCCTGTTTTCAATATTTCATGATGTCATTTGACATTTTTAACTTGTATGTAAATTCTGAATTCGAAAATTGAAAGAAAAATGACAGAACTGTCAAAACCTGTCATTTGTTTTAGTAGGAAAAAATATTCTTATCTGGTTCATTTTTGTTTCAAGGTAGTTTATTGGTGATAAAACATTAAACAAAGTTCATGTCATATTTTGACAACTGTTAGAATTTGTTAATAGCTTTTTGATTCATATTGAGTTTGTTTGCTTAGTGAAGTTCTACAACGGGCATAAAATTGGTTTAGTTCTATTGTATTATTGTATTATTCTATTATTCTACTTGTAGAGCCTCATTAAGTAAACAAACTCAATATGAACCAAAAAGCTATTAACAGATTCTGACAATTGTCAAAATGTGACATTCATGACCTTTGTTTAATGTTTTATCACCAATAAACTACCTTGAAACAAAAAACAACCAGATAAAAATATTTAGTTTCTACTAAAACAAATGACAGGTTTTGACAGTTCTGTAATTTTTTTTTTCAATTTTTGAATTCAGAATTTACATACAAGTTAAAAATGTCAAATGACATCATGAAATATTGAAAACTGAAAAAGATGAGTGCTGCCGTTTGGCAGGGTTTTGACAGATATCAAAATGGTTGACATTTTTGGACTTAACTTGGTCGACTTAGTAGACATCAATACTTCGTTCATCAAAATCTGCCATAGTCACTCTACTTTTGGATATAGGATTCCAATATTTGACAGCTAACCACGCCTCACCTGTCATATATACAGGGTTGTGCCCATGGTAAAAAATGTTGCTTACGGCATTCCCAATAACATATTTAAATTTCATCCAAATATCACGGGTAACCAATTTCCATTTAAAGATTGCGGGGTCCTTTAGCTTGTTTTTCTCGTGAAATAGTCGAGCCGAATACCACTTAAGAATAAAATATGTAGGCAAAATTATTCTCTTGGTTTTATTCAAGTTTATTATTGTTTTTTGGTAATTTCGCTCATGAATTTTTTGACAATTTTTGACAAAACCTCGCCTGACGGCTTGTGGTCAAAAATGTCATTCGCGAAATTGCCAAGCAACAAACTTTCATACCAGTCAAAAATTTTGCCAACAATTTTTTTTCTCTTGTGGTATCACAGCCTCCTACACTTAACAAGCCATGAAGTTAAAAAGGCAACACCGCAATCTTACCGCCAAGTGGTGCTGGTGCTGTTTGTATTTATAAGTATATATTTTTTATTTTGTTAATATGAATGACAAAAAATGCATCATTTATTGTACTAAAGGGCCAAAAACAGTAATTCAATGCATTCAGGGCATAATCATCTACTTAGTACCCTTGATACATAAATAACTATTATATACCTACATATTTTTACTACTACCTTGACAAAAGAATTTTAAAAGAAAAAAAAAATAGGTATTCTTGAAATTATTTCAAAGTTGCTAAAGTGCCGATATCTTTATTTCTAGGGCTTGAAAAAGGTTTATTAATATAAACCGAAACGTTGCCACAATCTGGTAATTTCTTTTTTGTCCAGTCCTCTAAATTCACCACTATTTAAACAGAGGACACGGAATGGCTATTATTATATTCTAAATTAGTTGTGATAATCTCACACATATGTCAATATTTGTAGTTTGGTTTTCAATAACTAGCTACCTAAATATGTATTATCCTCGTATTTTCGATATGTGACAAAGCTAGAACAATTAGGTCGGAGTAATCAAAGAGTATTTGTAATATCGCGGATTCCGGGTCCACTAATACTCACTTCACAAGTAATACCAACTTCTATGGAAGAAAATTGACTTCCTGAAAATTAACTAATCATTTGTCGGAACGTACACAACAAATCTTATATTTAAACTCAGCTCAAACTGATTACGGTGCGCTCTTCATAGTCTTATCGTATTCCGGATCTATCTAGAAAAATGTGTTCCTCGAATATAATAGAATTTTCAGAAAAGACGGGCTCCCAGACGTAAACAACTAAATACGTCAAATCAGGCCGGACTCACCTGTTTTATCTAGGATAGTCAAATAATTATAATTAGAAAAAAGGAAATCGGCTTGCCTGACGTTCACAAAATTTCCCATATTTAAATCTTGAAATAAATGTTATAAAGTCTCATGAAAAATATATTTCAATAAACGTTTAAATATTTTATTGCAGTCTTTTGAAGTTAGTTCGAGTCAGTTAAATCCTATCCCAAATTATATTTTGTCACACTTATCATTTCGTTTTATAATTCCGGTACAGAGATACCCATGTGGCCTGTTTTCGAAGTAAGCACCAGGCAACTTTTTGAGGTCATATATATTTGTTTCCAAGTTGGTAAACTTTATCTGGTTTTATTGTTGTGAATTCTAGTTGTATGAAAGTTCCATAATACAGAAGATATTAGATTTTGATTAGCAGTTATATAAAGTGCAACGAGAAATAAAATGCAATGGGAATTCTAGTAGAAGGGCTTAACAAATATATATTCTTACCTAATAGTTGGTCATTGGTAGAGAAAATTTACTCGTCGCGAAGATCATCCAACTGCAAATGTGGAATTGTATCTGATAAAAGGCTTCATTTTAGTAGAAATCGTAAGGGATGTAGAACCTGGAAATAGATAAAACTAGTTAAATTAAACTCAGTAGATACTCAATTCAGTTCATTTGACACCAACTTTGAATTTAACCGGAATTTTCAATCATGGATTAAATTCAAAGTTGGTGTAAAATAATAGTTTATGAAAAAAGATCGGTTTATTTGCTGGAAAATCAACCCTTTAGGTTTTACAGCCCGTCAAAGTTTCAAAAATATCAAAAATTTTCAACTGTCAATATCTCCGAAACAGATGAAGATGGGTATATGACTGATATTGTACAGGGTGTCCGAATTTGGATGGTTTTAATAGGAAACATCAATTTCTGAGCAAGATACAAAAAAATGAACCCCCCACTCCGAGGCTCAAATTTCATGAATTTTTGATTGGTGCAAACCGCATTTTGATATCTTCAACCGTTTAGCCGCTAGAGGGCGATTCTCGATTTTGAGCAATAATGTGAAACCATCATAACCGATCATAACTTTTTTGTTTATGAAAATTATTGATTTCCGTAAAAACTTTCTAAAAGCACTTTTTCAAGCAGAATTCAGTGACGTTCTCAGTTTTTTTCTAGTTGGTCCCAACTCCGGGATATTGACCAAAGTCTGTTTTTTTTCAATAGGACACTCTATATATTAATAGCTCATTAGAAAGCTCGGCTTTTTCTGATTTCAATGATATAAAGTTCGATAGGTTTATCTCTAATAGTTTTCGAGAAAAAAAATTATTTCGTAAGAAGTAATGTGTAAGAAAAGGACTTTATATCTGTAAGGAAACTGAGAAAGGTCTCTTTCTAACTCATTGTTTCTTATGACAAAAGCCGAAATATTTTTTTTTTCTCAAAAACTGTTAGAGATAAACCTATCGAAATTTTTATCATTGAAATCAGCAAAAGCAGAGCTTTCTATGAGCTATTAATATATAGGGTGTCCCATTGGAAAAAATCGGATTTTGGTCAAAATCTTGAAATCGAGTCCCAATAGAAAAAAACTGAAAACGTCACTGAATTCTGCTTGAAAAAGTGCTTCTAGGAAGTTTTTACAGAAATCAGTTATTTTTATAAACAAAAAAGTTATGAAGATTCCACAGTATTGCTCAAAATCGAGAATCGCCCTCTAGCGGCTAAACGGTTGAAGATATCAGAATGCGGTTTGCACCAATCAAAATTTCAAGAAATTTGAGCCTCGGAGTGGGAGGTTCATTTTTTTGTATCTCGCTCAGAAATTGACGTTTCCTATTAAAACCATCCAAATTCGGACACCCTGTACATCAAATATGTCTATAATTTTCCGCAAATTCCAGAAATGTCATAATACACAGGGGGTACCATTTAACTTAAGTTGATATCCGAACAGATATTCTTGGAACCCTCTGTATGAAAAAATCTCGAGAAAAAAACTCAGTGCTGTTGCGCATTACTTTTCCTAATTTTCAAACAAAGATAATCTGTTAAATAGGGTCCTCATGAGGTCAGGATTAGGAAGTGATATAGACGCACGACCTAATAAAAAATGAAACGACGTAAGAACTGTTGAATTGTTCGGATCCGCAGGCATCGGTGTCAAAAGCCTAAAAGGCACACATCTTTTGGGTTTTTGGTTTTCTGTCAAATTCACTGAAATTTTGATATGTGGTATATAGTTGGGGAGCTGGCGTCAAAAACATGCAAGAGTTTTCGCAAGGCGGATATTTTCAAAATAGGTCGTACTTTAGTGCTAGAATGCTAGTGTACAGTCAGCACTCACAGTTCCGGGACAGCTGGCTCTGGGACGCGGGCAAAGTTGTAATTTTAAGAAGCATCTAAACTGTTTTCTCAAAGCTCAAAATTTATAGAAATTTTGCACAATATCTGTTTGAAGGTCACAGATAACGTATGTAAATCGTCCGACGTCTAATTCGTTGCAAAAAGGGGGTCAGACGTCCTCAAAGTTTTTATTTTATGGCATTTTCTTCGGTGACCTGTCAAAATATATTTTTGCAGGTATTTGACAAATATATTTGAAGAAAATGCCATAAAATAAAAACTTTGAGGACGTCTGACCCCCTTTTTGCAACGAACTAGACGTCTGACGATTTACATACGTTATCTGTGACCTTCAAACAGATAATGTGCAAAATTTCTATAAATTTTGAGCTTTGAGAAAACAGTTTAGATGCTTCTTAAAATTACAACTTTGTCCGCGTCCCAGAGCCAGCTGTCCCGGAACTGTGAGTGCTGACTGTACACTAGCATTCTAGCACTAAAATACGACCTATTTTGAAAATATCCGCCTTGCGAAAACTCTTGCATGTTTTTGGCGCCACCTCCTGGACTAATATCTTGACTTACTGATAAAAAGTTCTCATGGGCCCGACCCGATACTATGATTAGTTTCCGAAATACAGGTGGTTTAATGTTCAAGAAAAATGTACACATTTTATATGCATTCACATCTACTTGTCACCTATTATTAGGTCTGTCAGAGTGAGTTTCATTGGTTGTAACTAGTTTTCTGACTGTTTCTGACTGTTTTCGACCAATCAAATTCGCTCTGACAAGTTTGTGATTTTTGCAGAAACAGACCTATTATTAGGTGACAGGTAGATTGTGAATACATATAAAATGTATACATTTCTTGAACATGAAAGTACCTGTATCTCAAAAACTAATCATAGGATTGTTTCGGGCCCATGAGAACTTTTTATCAGCAAGTCAAGGTCTAACACATATCAAAATTTCATTGAGTTTGACAGAAAACCAAAAACCCATAAGAGGTGTGCGGGGTCCTTTAACATATTTTCTATTTGTGAAATGATGGTATAAAAACGTTCAAATATAAAAGTACCTTCCTGGTGAAGATGCCATCACTTTAAGCCTCTTTAAGGAAATGGTATGGTAGTATGTAGTTTGGTATTAGATGGTTTGCCTAGATGTGATATGAACCTCTGAAAGGCTTCAAGAAAGAATACAGTGCTCAAATCCATCACCAGTTCAAGATGAACCGCTTTTACAGTTAAACAAATAAAAGGACGGAGGTAACTTTTTTTTGTTTTTGCACTACGACCTCTTCTATCTTTTTATTCGAATAGATCTGAGAATCCATACCTACACGTCTGAAAAGGAGGGTTTTGCAGATATTTTGCATTCTGGCAATATAATTGGGCTAATGAACTTTAGCTTAAAACAGAAGCACATTACACATTCTCGCAAAATGCGCATAAGGATACTTTTTCCTGAAATTGGCAAAAAGTTTTCACGAGTCTCGGATAAAAGTAGTTGAGGGCTACAATGAAAGTTCTCATTATGTATATTTTTCAAAATAAGATCTGTTAAATTATTCTTATGACGCAAAAGAGCAGGATGTTTTTTTGCAAATAAATAACTCGAGTTTTTGAAGCGACCACTCACTCTTATAAATGTTATGCTTCAAAAATTGAATTAAATTATTCAGATTACTTTTGTTCCTAACATTTCGAGAATGGATGAGTTCTTTCAATTCATCAGAAAATGACTCACGCTGAGCTAGCATAATTAATTTATTGGAAGCTTCGCGTAACTCTTCCATTGTTAATATTTAATATATTAATATTATATAATTTTTCAAAAATCGTAAACAGTACGCCATTACATATTTTGCTATTAGAAAAGAAAGAAACCTTGAAAAACAAAATGGCCGATTATTGGAATGTAATTTGCAATCAACCAAAGCGTGAGTATTTTATCGACATTCTGGCAATTCTATATCAGGGCTGTCGTTATGTATGGAAACGGTCTGATATATCAGAACGGGCTAAAAAAATTATACAATATTTCCTACCTGGAGGTTTCTGGGAATGCTCGATTCAATGGTGGTAACTGCAATGTTGCCAATTTTACCGTTTCTGAGATGATGTATGTAACTAATGTATGTCAGCGTCCCAACATTACTAAAACCCCTATATGTCAAACCTCTATTTTACTTGGTTGTCGAAATGTGGCAACACAGCTTTTTTATTGTAATGTATGAAAACGAAAATTATCAAAATTTAACAACAGAACTAACAAATAACAGCAGAATCTTAATTTATGAGGTGCTCAACGTGTTCACCATTCACTTCTTGGAAATAATGTACTCGCTGAGCGAAATTTTGTAAGGTGTCCAGTAATGTTTCTGCTGATATGCTGCCGATTTCATTTCTCATTTAGTTATTCTATATTTTGGGGTCTGTCCACATAAACTTTATTTTTAACATGTCCCCGTAAAAAATAATCGAGGGGGTCATGTCGGGAGACCTAGCAGGCCATTCAATTGCTCCTCTTCGTCCTATCCATCTTTCAGGGAAGGTTTGGGAAGGCGGCGCACCATCTTGCTGGAACCAAATACTTTCAGCTGGTTGATTTGAATTTTCGTTATTGGGAAATAGGTGCCGGACCCTGGGAATAATTTGACGTTGCAATAGAAGTAAATAGTTTTCAGCTGTTAAATTTCCTTCGATAAAGTATGGCCCTATTATGCAATCTCGTCGTTTGTGTGTGTCTCCACCATCCAGTGCGGATTAGAGTCTGACCAAAATCGGCAATTATGCCGATTTACCTCACCATGCCGACTAAAAGTTGCTTCATCTGAAAACAGTATTTGATTTTTGATGTTGCCATTCTGGTTCATCCTATTCATCATTGTCTCAGAAAACTTAATTCTTTGGCCAAAATTATCTTCATTTAAGTCTTGCAGTAATTGAATTCTGAATTCTCGAAAATGAGATTGTGTAGTTATTTTTTTGTATTGCCCATCTGCCATGTCGTGATTCAATGCTAACTGCTGCATCGAGCACTTTTTGTGTTCCACAACATCTAGCATAACGTTGAACAAATTATCTTCTTCCGTATCAGAAATGGGTCTTCAAGTTTTTGGTCGATCTTTGACGCTACCAGTTTCGATAAACCTTGTTGATATTTTGGAAACAGTTGATTTAGAGAGTGGTTTCCTGTTTGGATGCAGTTCATTTAAAATAGTTACTACATCAGCAAAACTTCGTTTTCTATCACCATACC